GGACTAAACCAGGTCTAAACCAGGTCTAAAACAGGTCTAAACCAGGACTAAACCAGGACTAAACCAGGTCTAAACCAGGTCTAAACCAGGACTAAACCAGGACTAAACCAGGTCTAAACCAGGTCTAAACAGGATTTAACAGGACTAACATCATGCTGCGTGGACCGTGTCTCCTCCTCTTCTATCAAAAATATTTTTAATTTGGTTCAGTAAAGTTTGGGCTTTTTTTTAATTGTCTTTTAGCAGACAAAACATCTTATGTGAAGATTTCCTCGTCTTTGCTTCTCTACAGCAAATCAAGTAATCCAAAGTATTCAGATTACATTACTCACTTTAAGTAATTTAATGGATTATGTTACAAACTACATTTTGGGGTATGTAATCTGTAATCTGTAGGGGAATACATTTTAAAAGTCACCTTCCCAACACTACACCTGGGACATTTCTTGTATAAAACTGGGACAAATCACTAGTTTTGTATAAATCTGCTGGGACAGGGGACACAGGCTGGGGTCTGTCCTGGGTAATGAGGAACACCTGACCACCCTTTTTTATTGAAATTTAATTACTTAAACAGAACCATGAAGGCTTGCATTCATAAAAAGTGTTTTCTTAAATTGTTTTTGTCAGTGTTTGCTTGAGTGTGCATAGTGTCACCATGGTTACTGCTGAACATTCTGCCGATAGAGATAAATGTAGAACCCCCCTCCAGCCTGATGTCTCTGTAAAGTATCAAAAGCGCCTTTCAAGACGCCCAGAGTGTTTTTCAGTTCATTGTGCTGCTTTCACGTGGTGTCAAATAAAACATAAATAAGATTTTGTGATCTGTAGATGTGCATGAACACTGGACCAAGACATTTGCTCAAGTCGGAGAAATGGGAATATTGGAAGCAGCACGAGTTGTGCCGTGAGGGGCGTTGGCTGGTGAAAGTCAAACCAGAATTCTCAACAAATAAAAGAGACTGCCAGATATTTGTATCATGTGAACATTAAGTTTTGGCAAAGCAATAGTTTCTGTGTGTGTTCTTTGTGCCAGGCTCTTGTTTTCTTGGCCCCTGGGTTTTCTTGGCCAACACTCAGAAACTCATTTATTTATTTATTTATTTATGAATTTATTTGAAAAGGGACAATGCACATTAATCAACATTAAAACAATGTAAATGTGCCCGGGTTCGCTGATAAGAGCTCATTTGCATCAGTAGTCCCTTTACCAGATGTCAAAAAGGCATCCTGAAAGAAAATACACTTAAAAGTTACACATCAAAAATTACACAAATGTACAATAAGATTATAAATCACAATAAAAGTTTTTGTGTTGACACATTTCCATTTCTAAAAGCCACTTTTTAGCATTCTTTTTAAAAGCAGAGAATGAGGGAGATGTTCTGATGTCTTCAGACACAGAGTTCCACTGATGACGCTCTGACGAAAGAGAAAACACACTGACCAAACACAGTTTTTCTCTGAGGAATAATGCAGTCTTCCCTCACTGCTCCTCTGGTCACTCTGCCCTCACTAGATCTGAAATAAACAAAGTCATTCAGCAAAGGGGGGGCCGAGCCATGTTTAATCTTGTACATTAGACAGATATTTTTTAATTTAATAAGATTGTTCCAGGTCATTCATTTGTATTTCTGCAAAATGTGACAATGGTGGTATCTGTAGTGTTTTTTGTCAAGTGTTTTTAGAGCTTGTTTACAGAGTGATTCAATGGGTTTTATTGTTGTGAGTGATGGATTAGAGCAGCTGATGATACAGTATGTGAGAGGATAAGGGCAAAAAAGTAAGATTTTGCTGCCTCAATTGATGAGTCTCTGATGTAACGGAAATTAGATAAACTGAATTTTATCTTATTGCTAACTTTTTGAATATGTGTTTTGAAATTGAGATTTAATTCATCGGCAATGTGGGTGAAGCCACGCCAGTTTTATTTGTAGAACTCCTTTCATGCACACAGGCAACTCAAAGTGCTTTACACACTATTAAAATCACAATAATCTGTGAAATAGTTACACAAGTTCACATCATTTACCAAAAGATCAGAACAGTTAAAATGTTCAAATCTATAAATATATGAATTCATTAGCTTTGCCTTTAATTATTCATAAGCAATAGGCGAGTTTCAGCTGACATCATTGTTATTAAAAGCCCGTTGAATGCTGGGAAATATTTTGGTCGGAGGCAAGAAACACGGTAGCGTCAAACACAGTGTGTAACCTCGTATATTTATCCCTGATAATGGTAAATTCCTGCTGCATTATCGGATGCACAAATAGAAGCACGGAAGAAGGAAAATGTCTTTTTCGTATTCTGAGTGAAAAGAACCACTAACGGTGAATTAAACGACTTTCAAACATCCGCAGAGTAAACATAGAAGATCCTAACAAACCGTGGACTCCAACAAGTTCAACAACACATCGAGACTCTTGGAGGTTTTCATCTTTTCTGCTGTGAATGGACCCAGGAGTTTCCACCAAGTCATTGTGGTGATTCTGACCAGAAATTTGGTTTGGTCCACCTTTTGTCAGGGTTGAAAAGGGTGATTTGGCGTCTTATGACCAGTGTTGGGAAGGTGACTTTTAAAATGTAATCCCCTACAGATTACAGATTACAGATTACATACACCAAAATGTAGTTTGTAACGTAATCCATTAAATAACTTAAAGTGAGTAATGTAATCTGAATAATTTGGATTACTTGATATTGTCATGCTTTTTAGTTTAGTTTTAGATTTAGATTAGTCCTAGTTTAGTTCTGGTTTAGGTCCTGGTTTAGTTCTAGTTTAGTCCCAGTTTAGTTCTGGTTTTAGTCTTGGTTTAGCCCAAAATGTGAAAACTGAAAATTACTGCCCTGTAATCCATTTATTTCAACAAAGTAACTGTAATCCAATTACCACTCACTGAAAGAGTAACTGTAACTGAATACAGTTACTCATAATTTGTACTCTGATTACGTAACTTTGGTACATGTAATCTGTTACTCCCCAACACTGCTTATGACCAATTTCTTTGTCAACAATGAAACTTGCTTATATGAAAGTGCCTTGCCTAAGGACACAACTACGCACTGGAGCAACGGCGCAGTGGTCTCACATCTAAGTACAAGTACAGACTAGACCTCGCTTAGATTCCAAAACCAGACGAGATCAGGTATTGAGAAGCAGGTACGACCAAAATACACTATACACCAATGAGATTCATTTAAAATGAGGTTATTCTTTCTTTTTAGGTTAGGTTATTAGGTTCTTTTTTCAGACCAAGAGTTGTTTTTTTTTTCATTCCTGACAGTTTTAACTGCTCAGTAGTGTACACAATATCAACACATCAGTGAAAATGTAAAAAATCTCAGGCAATTACTCATTCCCCTAAAGACAAAATAGAACCGGAGCATAAACGTAATGTCATATATGAAACACCCTGCATGTCCTGCAATAAAACACACATCGAGGAAACAGGGAGGATGTTCAGTCCATGAAAAAATCAACATAGAACAGAATGCGAGAAGGAAACAGCGAAGGCGAAACACGAGCAACAAAACACTAAACAGAACAGGAACAACTCAAATCAGTCATTTCGGACACTGTAAATGAACGAATCACTTTCTGGACTGGGACGGAGGAAAACAAACATTGTCGCTGAATTAAAGAGGCAATCAAAATATGGTAACGTGCCCAAGGGAATATCAACCGGGACAAGGGGCTTTTTTACTCTCACACACCTGGGATACTGTCCTGAGGAAGTGGGACTGCAGGTGGCGCTGTCATCCTGCCTCCACCGGTAGAAAGACAGAAACAAAACCTGTTTAAATCAACTGATTGACACAAAACTAATAACATAACCTACAGCAGGGGTCTCAGACTCGCAGCCCGGGGGCCAACTGCGGCTCTTGGAAGATTTTTTTGCGGCCCTCTTTAATTCCAAAGAATAATGTCAGTGCGGCCCGCGGTAGATGTACGCACAATCCCACCCCCCACCGCGGGCCGGACTGACAGATGAAGCTGCAATCGGTGCCCATGCAGATTCACAACAACAACAGATTATTAACGCAGTTTACATCCCAAAACTCAATTTACAGCAGCTGTGAAGCAACGAGTCTACGTGGATCTGATAATACAAGTACACGTGCACATACGGCGTTTTTTTTTTTTTTCATGCAACCGCTATTTATCAAATACTCAATGCGGCCCAGCCTCACTCAGACTATTTCTAATGTGGCCCCCAGGTCATTTGAGTTTGAGACCCCTGACCTACAGAGTCCGTGTGTGATTCGTTCATTTGTTTTTCAAAATAAAACCAAAAATAACAAAATGAAAAAAACAACTATTTTCTTCATTATTTGTCTCCAAAACTAAAATGAAAAAACAGATAATGATTTGGCCCAATGAGATCCTGGTTTAGTCCAGGTTCCGTCCTTTTTCCGTCTTTTCCATTAATCATTTAAACACAAAATTGAAAACTAAAAAAAAAAAAAAAAAAAAAAAAATTTCATTCATTTTGGTTTTGGAGACAAATAATAAAGAAAATTGTTGTTTTTTCATGTTCTTATTCTTGTTTTTATATTGAAAAACAAATGAACGAATGCCACATGGATAATCCAGTATAATAAAATCTCATGGACAATAAAAGGTTTTGGACTCTCCATTTTTGTATTCAGAAAATGCCGTGCTGTTTCTATTCTTGTACTTGTTTCCAGCTTTCGGAGTTATGGTTTTACACTGTTCAGCATTAATCAAACTTGGCTGATTAATAACTCGGTAACGCTCTATTGTCTCTCTTTCTCGCAGACGTTTTGGCCGGCGGCGTCCCCTCCTCTGTCCAACAATACCTCCTTCAGGTCCTATTGTCTGACGCAGCTGTGTCCAGTAGCAGCGGGAGAGCGAGGGAGGAGGAGGAGAAGAGGGGGGGTCGGTGGCTCTGAGCGCTTCCTACCCGGAGACCCGTGCCAGCTTCCGAGTTTATATATTCTTCCTCTCTCTTCGCTCTTCACTCAGTTCTATCACCATGGACTGACATCTCCAACTCTTCTAACTTGCGATTTTTTACTTAAACTGGGCTTAAACTCCCAAAACGTTTTACATTTTCTTCACTGAGTAGTTGAATTCGGGGACTCAACCGACCATCATGTATTCCCCGGTGTCCAAATACAGCCCAGAGGCACGCAAGAAGATGAGCTACCGAACGACCAAAACCAAAAGCTGCGGATACTACATGCGGATCGTCTTCTTCTTCTCTTCCCTGATCCAGTCTCTCATCATCGTCAGCCTGGTGCTCTTCCTCATCTACGGGCAGCAGCACGACACAGTGTCCGTGGACAGGATCCAGGACCTGGAGATGAGGTTCAACAAACTCAACATGGAGACGGTGAGATTGAGGCTGCAGAGGAAGAACCTGACCAGTCTTCTGAACGCCACGGTGCAGGAGATGACCAAGAACGAGTACGATCTGACCCACCTGAGGAGCACAGCCAACATGTCCTACTTCCTCCTGGCCGACATGGAGAGGAAGCTGGTGAGATGATTTCAATAAATGCATAAAGAGTGAGAAAATATTTTAAATGTGCTTTGTGTCACATTTCTGTTGGAGGGTCTGTCAAACGCTTTGAGATGTTATTCCTTTGTCTGAAAGGTTTCACAGTATGACATTAAACCTTTCTGTGTATCCAGAGCAAGTTACAGGTCAGATCTGTGGAAAGGCGACCACGCTCACAGTCAGAATGTCTGTTTTTTTAGATTTTTTTTTGAGCTCTAAAACCACCTGTAACTGAATAAATATAAAGTAGAGCTGTTTAATGTCACACTGTGGAACATCTCCAATGACAATGACCCCAACGTGCAGGCAGATGTTGCAGATTTGCAACAGCTAAATGCCAATCACCTACTTACTCCAAATCCATATTTTATGAGCTTTTTTTACTCAGGAGCCTTTTCTCCCATCCATGCTGATAAACATGGACGATACAGACTGTGCAAGAATGGTTACACGCAAACAACCTGCCAGAAGTACAAAGTACTTTTGTTGTTTACAAAGGGAAAAAAAGTCAGTAACTGAATAAATATAAAGTAGAGCTGTTTAATGTCACACTGTGGAACATCTCCATAGAACCAAGAAGGTGACGGACCCCCAGCGTGCAGCTTTAAAGCCATAGTATGTAACTTTTATGTCATGAAATATATATAGACAGAATGAATCATTCATATCCTAAATAAGTCAAATTTGAAATACTGAAATACTTTAAACTGAGATGTTATTTAAATGGAAGAAAATAACTAAAGTCTGTGAGGTACAATGTGTTCTACTTCCTTCTGCTTGACATCGAGAAGAAGTTGGTGAGATTGTCAAAAATAATGATCTGCAGAAAACAAAACAAAACAAAAAACAAGATAAAAGTTAAAGGTGCATTCTGTATCTTTTCTGTTGGAGGGTTCATCAGACGCTTTACTTTATGGAGACGTTGTTTTTTTGTCTGGAATATTTCACAGTATGGTATCGGTATTAAACTTTTCTATCTACATGGAGACCAAACCTGACCAAATTACAGGTCAGATCTATGGAGAGGTGACCCCACTCACAGTCAGAATGTCTGTTTTTCTAGGTGTTTTTGAGCTATAAAACCACCTGTAATTGAATAAATGTAAACTAATCCAACTAGACCAAACTATTCCAGTTACAAGTCAGATCCTTGGAGAGAATGTCTGTTTTTCAAGGTATTTTTGAGCTAAAAAAACCCCCAAAACAAACAGTGGTAATTGAATTGAAACAGAAGGTAGGTAAATGTAAAGCAGAGCTGTTTAATGTCATATATATTGTGGAACATTCCAGACAGAGCAATGACATCTCCATAGAAACAAGCAGGCGACGGACCCCCAACCAAAAAGTTACACAATGACCCTTTAATGGTCAGAGTTGGGTTAAACATCATGTAAAATGGAAAAAGGCTATAGAAGTTGAACTAGCAATAGAGCAGATAGGGGACAAAATTGATTGATAAAAAATACAATCTCTTTTTTATCATTTGTAAAAAAGGAACTGGACATATAAGTTATTTTTGAATTCTTTTTCTGTTCAGTGCCTGGATTATGTTTCTACAGTAAAGAGAAGTGAATGTAGCAGCTGTCACATGTACAACAGAATGAGGAGTAGGACGACATATTACATTTGTACAATTATAATCACAACATTTATTCATGTCTCTATGATGGAGTATAAGGGTCAGATAATTATTTTTTTTTTAAATGCTGGCACTACAAGAATAAAGTCGTAACATTTCAACATTAAAGTCGTAATATTATGAGAATAAAGTCGAAGCCAGAAAAAGTCGTAATTTTACGAGAATAAAGTCATATTTTTACGAGAATACAGTTGTAAACTTACAAGAATAAAATAGTAATTTTATGAGAATAAAGTCATAGTCAAAATAAAGAATATCGGCTGCTGGGAAAGTCTGAACGAGTGGAAAATGGAGAATTTGGAGCATTTTGTAAAGGAGAAGAATCCGTGTATCATTCGTTCATTCGACTGAATCAGGACTAAATCAGGTCCGGAACCAAACCAGAAAGACCAGTATTGAGACCGGGACCAGACCAGGACTGAAAATGGTTTAGTCCTAGTTTAGTCCTGGTTTAAGTCACGGAAATGGGAAATGGCGTTTCCGTGACTTTAAAATGCAATGCGGGACTATTGCGCCGCATACGGACTGAACCAGGACTGAACCAGGACTGAACCAGGACTGAATCAGGACTAAACCAGGACTAAACCGTTTTCAGTCCTGGTCTGGTCCCGGTCTCAGTCCCAGTCTCAGTCCTGGTCCTGTTCCCGGTCTCAATCCTGGTCTCAGTTCTTGTCTGATCCCAGTCTAAGTCTTGGTCCCTGACTCAGTCCTTGTCTAAGTCCTGGTCTCAGTCCCGGTCTGGTCTTGGACCTCGTTTAGTCCTGGTTTAGTCCTAGTTTAGTCCTGGTTCAGTCCGGAGGCGCAAATAATGAAGAAAATTGTTGTTTGTTTTCTTATTTTTGGTTTTATATTGAAAAACAAGGTTCTTCTTCTGCCGCATTTTTCACTTTGACTTTGATTTTATTACGACTTCATTCTCGTGATATTATAACTTTATTCTCATAATATTACGACTTTATTTTAACTTCGACTTTATTCTCATAAAATTATGACTTTATTCCTGTAAAATTATTCCTTTATTCTCGTAAAATTACGACTTTTTCTGGCTTCGACTTTATTCTCATAATATTACGACTTTAATGTCGAAATGTTACGACTTTATTCTTGTAGCGCCAGCAAGTTTTTATTTTTATCTGACCCTTATACTCCGTCGTATGTCTCATATAAAACAGATCATGTTTTTTAAAAGAATAATGTCTGAGATGTGGTTTTGTCTCTTTGTCCAACAGCAACAGTGCACCTTTGAAAAGCTAACGGGACGTAACTGCCCAGGTAATCCCACGTCGATTTAGGATCTTGTTTTTAACTTTTCTACTGTGTTTTTCTTGACTCCATCACGTTATATCTGGTCTTATTCAAACATCTGTGTCACATATGTCCTAATACATTAATAAATTACATTCATGTTAAAGTTAAAGGTGCATTGTGTAACTTTTTTGGTGGAGGGTCTGCCATCAGATTTTTTTCACAGAGATTTTAATGCTTTGCCTGAAATGTTCCACAGTATTTTGCATTTATTCAAATACAGGTGTTTTTATTGCTTATAAAAACACCTTAACTTGGCGGTGTCACTTTTTTTGTCTCCATGGAAATAGAAACGTTTAGTGTAACACTGTGCAACATTCTGGACAAAGCAAATAGCATCTCCACGGAGACGAGGAGGTGACGGACCATCCACCAGAAAAGTTACACAGTGCACCTTTAAATGAGACGATTATGTAACAGATAATACTCCCTACAACTGTACAACAACTCACCCTTATGTTACAGATAATACTCCCTACAACTGTACAACAACTCACCCTTATGTAACAGATATACTCCCTACAACTGTATAACAATTCACCCTTATGTAACAGATAATACTCCCTACAACTGTACAACAACTCACCCTTATGTAACAGATAATACTCCCTACAACTGTACAATAACTCACCCTTATGTAACAGATAATACTCCCTACAACTGTAAAATAACTCACCCTTATGTTACAGATAATACTCCCTACAACTGTACAACAACTCACCCTTATGTAACAGATAATACTCCCTACAACTGTACAATAACTCACCCTTATGGAACAGATAATACTCCCTACAACTGTACAACAACTCACCCTTATGTAACAGATAATACTCCCTACAACACTCAACTTATGGAACAGATAATACTCCCTACAACTGTACAATAACTCACCCTTATGGAACAGATAATACTCCCTACAACTGTACAATAACTCACCCTTATGGAACAGATAATACTCCCTACAACTGTACAACAACTCACCCTTATGTAACAGATAATACTCCCTACAACTTTAAAATAACTCACCCTTATGGAACAGATAATACTCCCTACAACTGTACAATAACTCACCCTTATGGAACAGATAATACTCCCTACAACTGTACAATAACTCACCCTTATGGAACAGATAATACTCCCTACAACTGTAAAATAACTCACCCTTATGGAACAGATAATGCTCCCTACAACTGTACAATAACTCATCCTTATGTAACAGATAATACTCCCTACAACTGTACAACAACTCACCCTTATGTTACAGATAATACTCCCTACAACTGTACAATAACTCACCCTTATGGAACAGATAATACTCCCTACAACTGTACAATAACTCACCCTTATGTTACAGATAATACTCCCTACAACTGTAAAATAACTCACCCTTATGGAACAGATAATGCTCCCTACAACTGTACAATAACTCATCCTTATGTAACAGATAATACTCCCTACAACTGTACAATAACTCACCCTTATGGAACAGATAATACTCCCTACAACTGTACAACAACTCACCCTTATGTTACAGATAATACTCCCTACAACTGTACAATAACTCACCCTTATGGAACAGATAATACTCCCTACAACTGTACAATAACTCACCCTTATGGAACAGATAATACTCCCTACAACTGTACAATAACTCACCCAGATATCTATCCATCCATTTTCTCCCTCTTATCCGGGGCTGGGGCAGTCTAAGCAGGGACGCCCTGACTTCCTTCACCCTAGACACTTTCTCCTGCTCCTCCGGCTTTCCCAGGCCAGCCCAGAGACATAGTCCCTCCAGCGTGTCCTGGGTCTTCCCCGGGGCCTCCTTCCATTGGGACATGCATGGAACACCTCCTGAGGGTGTCCAGGAGGCATCAGAACAGATGTCCTCCCCTCAGCTGCTCCTCTCAATGTGGAGGAGCAGCGACTCTACTCTGAGCTCCTCACCCTATCTCTAAGGGAGCGCCCAGTCGCCCTGCGGAGGAAACTCATTTTAACAGCTTGTATCGGTGATCTCTTTCTTTCGGTCATTAAGCAGAGCTCATGACCAGAGGTGAGGGGAGGAACAAAGGCTGACCAGTAAATCGAGAGCTTTGACTTTCGGCTCAGCTCCTCTTCACCACAAAGGTCTGATACAGCGACCGCATCACTGCAGCCTCTATGTACAGTGTTGGGAAGGTGACTTTTAAAATGTATTCCCCTACAGATTACAGATTACATACCAAAATGTAGTTTGTAACCTAATCCATTAAATTACTTAAAGTGAGTAACGTAATCTGAATACTTTGGATTACTTGATTTGCTGTAGAGAAGCAAAGACGAGGATTTCGTAACATAAGATGTTTTGTCTGATAAAAGAAAATAAAAACCCCAGATTTTACTGAACCAAATTAGAAATAGTATTGATAGAAGACGAAGAAACACGTCCACACAGCAGGATTTAGTCCTGTTAAATCCTGTTTGAGACATAGTTTAGTCCTGGTTTAGTCCTGGTTTTAGTCCTGGTTTTAGTCCTTTTTAGTCCTGGTTTAGTCCTGGTTTAGTCCTGGTTTTAGTCCTGGTTTTGTCCTGGTTTTAGTCCTGGTTTTAGTCCTGGTTTTAGTCCTGGTTTTAGTCCTGGTTTAAGTCCTGGTTTAGTCCTGGTTTAGTCCTGGTTTGTCCTGGTTTTAGTCCTGGTTTTAGTCCTGGTTTTAGTCCTGGTTTAGTCCTGGTTTTAGTCCTGGTTTTGTCCTGGTTTAGACCTGGTTTAGACCTGGGTTAGACCTGGTTTTAAACCTGGTTTAGTGTCTGGCAATGAGTGGAATTACCAAAAAAAAAGGGGAAAAAAAAGAAAAGTGAAAACAGGAAAATACCTCTGTGTAATCCATTTATTCCAATAAAGTAACTGTAATCCAATCACCACTCACTGAAAAAGTAACTGTAACTGAATACAGTTACTCATAATTTGTACTCTGATTACGTAACTCCAGTACATGTAATCTGTTACTTCCCAACACCATCTATGTAACAGATAATGCTCCCTACAACTGCACAACAAGTAACTCTTATTCCTACATTTCTGTCAATCATATCACCTTTGCACTGTTTTCCTTACGACCTCTTGTATATAACTGTGATATACTGTATTTATATTACTATATTTCTGTTTTGTTTTGTTTTTTAAACTTGACTTGTATATATACATTTATATAATTATGCTTTATTTAACACCAGAGTCTCGTAACTTTTTATTTACTACTTCTTTTAAAGTTTTATTACCATTTTTATATTTTTTTATCTTTATTATTATATTATATTGTGACGTGAGCTACTGTGTCTAAGTACTTTCCCTTGTGGATCAGTAAAGTGAAGTGAAAGTCAAACTCATCCTAATATCCAAAAAGTGTGCGTGACAGGTTTTGATGATTCTCAATTTTGTATTTAATTTACCTGTTGTAAATATAAACTACAGTTTCACACCAATCAAGAAGCAGTTTGCAAAGAAAAGCTGAAAAATATTTAGAAAATGATCAGAAGTACACAACAACAGAGCTACAGTTTTGTTGCTTGTGGAGTGAAAGGAAACTCATTTATGCAACACATTTGATATTTTTACTGTTTTGAGGATTAAAATGTTTGTGTTTCATATGAACTTTGCACAAGAAGTGATTTAACAAACACTTTTAGTGTCACGGCCACGATTTAGCCTTTATTTTTTATTGAACCATATCGAATCAATTTGAAATATATCATATTGAACTGAAAGTGCACTGTATCGAGATATGTATCGTATCGTGACCTGTGTATCGGCAACTTCTTAATGATACCCAGCCCTAGTAATAATAATATCTACATACATGGTTGCTAGGTAACAGTTACTATTCAGCAGTGTAAATCTCTAGTGAAAATTTTAATCTAAAAAATTGGCAAACTTGGAGATTTTCTTTTTTGTTTTTTGTACTTTTTAGTAAAATTAGTACAATATCTACATACATTAGAGGAGTTTTGGATCAGTATAATACACGGTTGCTAGATAACAGTTATAATTTCCTAGTGTAAGCTCTAGTGAATTTTTTAAACCGTAAAAATGGCAAAACTGGGAGACATAAAAAATAAAAAATAAAAAAAAAACTTTAATAAAATTCGTAGTCTAACCTATTATATTCACTAACTTACTTAAAGGAAGAAATCATCGTATTACTTTTGTCTTTCAGAGGTCCGACCCCCTATGAACCCTTACTCGTTCGGTGTTGGTATTGGAGGTGGCTGCAACTGTGCAATGCAAATAGAAACCTGCAAAGCCCAAGTAATGATGATCCAGTCCAACTTCACCCAGACGGCGATGCAGATGCAGATGGAGATGGACCAGATAGCCAAAGAACGCGACAACGTCAACCTGGAAGCAATACAACTCCGAAGGGACAAGTTCTTACACGAGAAAGCCATCGAGCTCTACCAAATCAAATGCAAAGACGAATTCATCAACTCCTTGAGCGGAATCACGAACGTCTCCAAAGCGTTCCTCAAAAAAATCGATAACGTATTCCCCACGCACAACTCCTTCCACCTCACCTGCCCCAAACAGAGAGAGTACCTGGAGCAGATCCGAACCAACTGCACCAACCTCTCAGAAGAAGTGGTGAGAAAATTCCAGAGCTATTTGGACAATCTGGGAGATAAGGTGTCCATGTCTCAAGGAAACATTAGCATCTTAACTGCGGAGAACATGCGAATGACGAGAGACTACAATCAGTGCAGTCAGAATCGTACGGGTTTGATCAGGGAGCACAGACAACACGTGGAGAGGATCCAGCTGAAGAACGACGAGGAGAAGGAGAAGCTGTTGAAAGAGAAAATGAGGCTGAACGGAGAAATCGAGGTTCTGGAGAGCAGCGTCAAGTTCAAGAACTCCGAGCTGGCCCATCTCAACGAGCTGCTCAAGCATCTCAACATGTCCTGCATTCCGAGGGTAAGGGCAAAAAGGGTGGATCATTACTCAGTCTACAGTATAAGTCTATAATATGTAGAGAAGGTTTCATGGCTGGTCTTCTGGTACATACTTCACCACATTGAATCACTCCTCGAAGAATGAAGGTCTCTCGTATTGTGTAATATCTAAACTTTAAATAGTCTTACGCAGGGTGTACACTGACTATGAAAAGTCTTTAAAATCAGTGCGCCTCCCACACTGACCTCTGATCTCTGCTCCTGCACTCTGACCTCAGCGGAGTGCAGGTTCAGTGTGGCTGAGGCGCAGGTCACCACACTGGTCTGGAGTGGTTTTCAGGTCATTAGGCATAAGTTATCTCATGAATACACACCACTTTGGTCAAATTCACACCACAGTTGTTAGTGTACTGTCTGCATCTAATTATAAAGTGTTTTATTGCTTGAGTTTCAGGAAGTGCGTTGTATTCTGTAGAATAGTTGTTTAGCTGTTTAGTCAACTTTGACTGTAACATAACTGTACATGACAAAGAAATGTGTCCTCTTCTGTAGTGGACTTTACTCATGTAAAAGGCATGTAGTTATAAACGCTGATTGCATTAAAAAATACCATGAAATGTTCAAATACAACACATAAACAGTACTTCAATACACTTTCATGAGGTTATTTGATTGTAAACACTTAAGATGTGCTGTGAAACTTTTGGTGGAGTTTGTCTCCTGCTTGTCTTTATGGAAATGTGTTTTTATTGCTAAGAACACCTTTAAGACATGAATTATTCTAGTGAGCAGGCTCGCCTCCGCTTAGATCTGACCTGGCCAGGTAGCATCATCTGTTTGTCTCCATGGAGATGTAAAACTTTAATGCCACACTGCAATCCAATAACATTTCCATGGAGGCTGATGCCACCAGGCCAAATTACAGGTCAGATCTGTGGAGAAAAGTTAGACAGTCCACCTTTAAAATATAAAAAATAGAATATCATCATAGTCTTTGTGTTTCAAATTTCACTTAAAGACATTGTACCTGATTTTTACTGACTTAAAAACATGTCAAACAGAAAACAATTAGTATGCAAACAGCAAACTTCCTGACACTCAAACAATAAAAGACATTATAATTAGATGCAGACAGAACAGCAATCTCATTCTGACTTCAAGAGTTGCAAAATATCTGTACAGTAACAAGACCATTTCTGCTTAAACACATGGGGAAAAAATCAGATGCAGTCACTTGTTGCAGTCGTTTGTATGTAACCAGTCCTTTTTTCATCCCAGGGTGGAAGTTATTTCCCTCGCTCGGGTACCCAGTCTGGCTCCCCCTGGGGAAACACTGGCTCCTCCAACACTGGCTCCTCCAACACTGGCTCCTACAACTTCGGCTCACCCAACTCTGGCTATCCCAACTCTGGTTCCTCCAACTCTGGCTATCCCAACTCCGGTTCCTCCAACCCTGGTTATTCCAACTCCGGTTCCTCCAACTCCGGCTCCTCCAACTCTGGCTATCCTAATACTAGACTTATGGCTCAGAACAACCACAACTCTGGCTCTTCTAGCTCGCTTGGGTCACCATATGGATCAACTGGGTCAAATACAGGCCTGGGCTCATCCAACCAGGGCTACAACAAACCTTCAACTGGACTGGGATCTTTAGGTCTTGGATCCAATAGTAACAGTGGTGGTCTTGGGTCTTCTGGGTTGAATAAGCCAGGGTCCAGTAACCAAGGATCCTCAGTTGGGTCATCTTTTGGGTCAAATCCAAGTTCATCTGGGACTGGTTTGAATAAACAGACTTCAACAGGGTTAGGATCTTCGCTATTTGGGTCTTATAATAATCCAAGTTCCTCTAGTCAGAATCAGAATAAGTTTGGGTCAAGCTCTGCGACGGGAGCCAGTTCTTCCAATTCAAATTCTGGGTCGACAAATTCAAATTTTGGGTCTAGTTCTAATTCCAATTTCCGTTCTCCTAACTCCAATCAGGGTTCTTCAAATTCAAAACCCGAATCTTCAAATTCTAATTCTGGCTCTTCAAATTCCAATTACGGGTCGTCAAATTCCAATTACGGGTCTTCAAATTCCAATTACGGGTCTTCAAATTCCAATTATGGGTCCTCCAATTCTGGTCTCGGTTCCTCTAGCAATTCCAATCTTGGTTCTGGTTCTTCTTCCAGTTTATCCAAGACAACATCTAACTCAAGAAGCTCCTTGTTTGGTTCAGGGTCAAGTCTGGGTTCTGGAAGTTCTAGCCAAAACAAGATGTCCTCCTCATCCTCCTCATCCTCCTCATCCTCCTCATCCAGCAAAAGTTCTCCAAGTTCTTCCAGCTCTTCGTCTGGGACAAGTTCAACGGGCAATAAGGGATTCGGATGGAGTTGGTTGGGAGGTGGTAGTAGTAGCAGCAGCAGCAGCAGTAGTAGTAGTAACAGTAACTCGGACCAAAGCAAACTAGGAAGCAACCAAGGGAGAGGATCGTCAAACAGCGGGACCGGTTATGGAGCTTTTGGTGCTGAAAGGAACTCATACATACGATGTAAGTATTTGCAGTAGTTGTAAAAGTACATTTGAAGGAATACTGCATAAGAAAGAGTGGAGAAATGCTCAACTATTTGACTTTATTGCAACTGTCAAAACATTTGTGATTTATGTTGTAAAATCAGTATTCAGTTCAATTCAGTTTGTTTTCATTTTGCTCAGAAAACCAGGCAGCATCGATTTTAAACACAGTTGATTAAGAAAGGTGCACTGTGTAACTTTTTTGGTGGAGGGAGATGTTACTGGAATGTTTCACAGTGTGGCATTAAACCTTTCTTTCTTCATCGAGACCAAATTACATGTCAGATATGTGGAGAGGCGACCCCGCTCACAGTCAAAATGCCTGTATTTATTATATACGGGTATTTTTGAGCTATAAAACCACCTGTCATTGAGTAAACGTAAGGTAGATATCTTCAATGTCTGTGGAACATTCCAGGTAGAGCAATGACATATCCACAAAAACAACGAGGTGACAGACACTCCACAAAAAAGTTACACAATGCACACTAAATTTGCTGCTTTCTGGTCAAAAACGCCAACATCTAAGTTTGGGCTGCCTTCAGTGGCCTCTTTAATTTCCAGTAGTTGGTGATAGTAGATTAAAGGTTATGATTTAAGGTATAGAGGATTTTTTTTTAAAGAGAAAGGAAATACAGCGACACTCCTTTTTCAAATGTTGTGCATGTGTGACACCATCTTCCTCCTCCACAGCTCCTCAGTAGAAACACCTCCTCCTGCCTCCTTACTCTAGAAATCACGTTTGTTTACAGCCAGTGCTCGTTCAGAATTACTGTTGAAGTGACCTGTCTAGAAATAATTTAGCGACCGACATGTCAGTTTTTAGACCCTTCGTCTGCTTCATTCACGCAATCGCTGGAAGAGATCTCCAAGAATCACCTCAGTTTGGCTTTGCTCCTTTTCTCCTTCTCTTCTTCTTTCAGCGACTTCAAAAACGGACTTTCTTTTGCGGCGAACTGGTCGTGGATTCTCGTCCGCCATCGCAACAAACTTTGTGCGAACTGCGAAGAAGCTACAGTTTAAAAAAGCCTCTAAGACCCGCTGCATAAACCACATAATCCCTGCGTTCCAGCGAGTCAGTTACACTAGAAACGTAGGGAGTTTGTTTGACAACCTAACAGCCAATAGAAAATGAGGTAGCCTTGTTGTCTATTGGCTGATGTTTATCTGCCCTCACTATGTCCAGAGTTGATAAAGTTTCATTATTTATTTATTTTTTTGTAGTCAACATAATTACAAGGCTGCTGCATCTCTGTATTTTAAACTTTCATTCACAATTTGAAACAAAAAAAAATCCTCCATACAACCTTTAAGTGGAGGAGTTTGGTGTTTAGTCCCACTTTAAAGACGACTGTAGATATTTATTCTTTTCAAAGTGCATGGACTTTTCTACATTGTTCGCCAAATGTTCTGAAAGGTTTCATATTTATTTTCTTTTTGTTTTGTCTTCTTCCGCAGCCGACATTTTCAGTGAACACATGCGAAGTCTGGAGCGATACGCCATCCCCTCAGGACAAGAGTAAGTCGCCTGAGCAGCCAGTCCCTCCCACATTCTGTTGCACCTTGTGATGTCATGCGGTAATACAGGAAGTGCTCCATTATTATTTAAAAACCATACATCTTCATTAGAATCATCTGGATCATTTTAGCCCTGTAATTGTCAATCTCTACTGAAAACTACTGCTTCATGACATTACAAGGTGGAACAGAGCATTTTCAGCTTTGGAGATGTAGACAGACTAATAATAAAGAATTAATCAAACATGTATGAAACAAAGCACAACTCCAGGTCTGTTTCTGAGGAGGTAACAACATTATAACATGGCTTAACACTCACAAGAGTTAGTTTGGTGTCATAATTTTAACTGATTTATGTGAAATAACTCCAAAAATAATGCCAAAAAACAAACTGAATGGTAAACAACAAACTAGTTTAAGCTTTTCAAACCAACATTCTTATTCCGACTTGGACTGAGCTTCTGTAAATGTTGTAATTCCATGCAAACTTATAAATATTGTTGTGTGTTGCTCTGTCGTAGACACAGAGAGAGACAGGAGCTCTCCAGGACGATCGGCTAGTGCGTTTGAAACCGAAAACATCCAAGCACCTTAATCTGCGTGACTATCTGGCAACCCCAGCTCCACTCTGGGTCTCAACGGACAATAGTGGAAGAAGACTGTCTAAGAGTGTTCAAGACCTTCTCCTCTTTGAAAGTGTAGAGGTCTGTCTGTGCCGAGACAAACTACCTGTACCGTGGTGTTACTGATGAAAACCAAAAAGTGTATTTCTGGTAATGTTATGTGTTCGTTTGTGATTTGTAAAATAGCTTTGTTTGTTTATTATTTTTTTACATGTACGATTTTGAAAAGTTAAAATCATAAAAGTGAACATTAAAGCTGACTCAAATATTGTACTTTTTTAAATTTATATGCACTTAAAGGACACATTTAGAGAGAGACAATATACAACAAAAATGTATTCTTTATATTATACTTTACAATTTAAACACTAAATTAGAGAACTGAGAATCTGATTTGAATGCCTTTTATTTGGTCTGGAAGAGGACCACCACCTGCTTGTTTCCATGGAAATGTTGTTGCTTTGGTTATAATGTTCCACAGTATGGCATAGCTTAGGTATTCCTGACCAAACCTAGCAACAAGATCATGGAGATAGATTTCCGAGCACTGCGCTGTTACCCAGGCTGGTGCAACCTAGTTCCTCTGCTTAATTTCATTTCTCTCCGGCAACTAGGTCAGGAATCAGAATACACAAGATGGTTTGCGGTTTGTTACTGGCCAAGCAGTGAAGAGCTGAACCTGAGTTGTGATAGCAGACTGCATACACTCTCCTCTTTTGGATTTCCTTTGTCAAATACAAACTTTGCATTTTTTATTGCACCCTTAATTCGCAAGTTCATCTCACAGCAATGACAATGATCATTGAAGACATGTTCACTCTCTGCTTTGTTTGCTGTTGTGCCGGCAGTTACTTGGACACCATGAGTGTTCCAGCACATTACATATGTCACCACCAAATAGCAGCGACTGGTTAAATAAAAAAAAGTACCCAATTATTGTCAGTGTTGGGAAGGTGACTTTTAAAATGTATTCCCCTACAGATTACATAACCCAAAATGTAGTTTGTAACGTAATCCATTAAATTACTCAAGGTGAGTAACGTAATCTGAATACTTTGGATTACTTGATATTGTCATGCTTTTTAAAACTGCATGAATGTAGCATGTTACAGGTCACTATAGGACAGTATTGTAGATTTCATGAGCCTATGCAGGTTGTTTTCTCCAGTGCCAGTAACTCCAGTTTGACATTTAACTTGTAGGTGATTTGAAATTGGTTTGTTTTTCTCTTTATATCTCTCCCGTCGGGAGAAGTGAGTGGTCAGTGTACCACGCCCACCACAGGCACATCTCTCTTTTCTTTAAATACAAAGTGATGTCTGAATTTCCAAGACACAAATGCGTTTTTGCCCGTGGACTGCTGACTCTGTTCTACTGGACAAGAAAATACCACCGTGTAATCCATTTAATTCAACAAAGTAACTGTAATCCAATTACCACTCATGAAAACAGTAACTGTAACTGAATACAGTTACTCATAATTTGTACTCTGATTATGTAACGTCGGAACATGTAATCTGTTACTCACACTGCTTATCGTCGAGTGAACGAATCCTAATGCTGCGAGGTCAGACGAAGTGAAACCAGCTGATGAATCAGGCAACTGTAGCACTCACTGCTCAAGACACGTTTAACCCAGAAATAATGAAGGATGGGTCAAATACAGAGGACAAATTACCTGACAGAAACAATGTACCTAAACCTTAAATCTGCTCTTTCTCCATCAAGAATGTTCACAAGTCTGCTTTTCTTTCTGTTTCTTTGGAATTATGCAGGTGACGTACCGCCTCCGGAAAGTTCCGTACTGTACCATTAAGTTATATTGCTTAAATGTACTGGCTTATTACAACTTGGTTAAATTGTCTGACTGATCTCTGTGGGTTGTTGTTTTTTTGGTGTGTTTTTATTTTTTTAGTTTCAAGGATAAAATGCTCAAAATCAAACTACTCAAAATAAAACTCAAATCATTTTAAAGGTGCACTGAATAACTTCTCTGCTTAATGGTTCGCCATGTGCTTGTCTCTATGTCCCACAGTATGGCATTAATGTGATCTACTTTGTGTTTATTCGATTACGGCTGTTTTAAAAGCTAAGAATACATCGAAAAACATGGATTCTGACTGAGCATGGAGTCACCTCTGCAAAGATCTGACCCGTAACTTGGCCTAGCAACGTCACCCTCTTGTTAGATACGTTTAATGCTATACTGTGCTATAGAAATCATATCTCAATGGCAACCAAAAAAGTTACACAATGCTCTTTTAACTGATCTCACCAGTACTACTGTATCCGATTGTCAGTGAATGCTCAAATGTGAATGATTCTTTGTATATTTTCATGACACTTCTCATTGTGTTGTCCCTATGTATGAAGAATAAAGCGATTGTTTCTCTTGTAAACAGAACTCTTACTTTGACACATGAGCGGGAGGTTCTGTGCGTCACCTATTGTGTGGCTAATAGGCTCTGGATCAGTCCCTGGAGATCTGACCCCACCATACCACCAGCCGTCTGTTTATGTCTACGGGCAGAGGTATACAATCCAGCCCAGGACACAATGTACGGGCCCCCCCTAAGAGGAACAGGGGCCGGATATCCAAGGGCACTCGTGTGGTTGGTGGGAGTTATAGTTGTTTACAGATCAGCTTCTGTGAGGCCCAGTTCTCTAGTGTAAACATGTCACAGATAACTGGTTTTATCTTGGTTGATGGAGTGTAAAAGTACTGGGTAGATGAAGTAGCAGTAACTTGGGACAGTACTCCTCCTCTGTGTCGCCTTTACAGTACGGTGTGCCTCAGGGTTCTACATTAGCACCAGCCCTCTTTGCTCTGTATATGCTCCCCCTGGGTGATGTTTTTAGAAAGCACAATGTCACTTTTCACTTCTGCAGATGACATTCAATTTTTTTCTGCCATTGGCTGCAACTCCCATGTGGAAAAAACAGGAAAAAAAAAAAAAAAAACACTGTCTTGGTAGTAAATCTTTATATAAGGTTAATATGTGTCATGTGTGGTTTACTCCTGAAAGTGTCCCCCTTCTGCATTTTTCTCATACAACTATATTATGAAAAACTAGTAAAGATAAAGTGAACATTTTGCATGACATTTACAGGTCATGTGCATGATAAACTACATTTTCTTTATATGTTCCATGTAATGTTTGTATTCATTAATTATATGTTGCAGTTAAAAAAACAAAAAACAAAATCTGAATCAGAAGGTGGATTTAAACTCAGGTTGCCCTTGTGCAAATCCAGTGACTTACCAGTTGAGCAAACCAGCTGTTACCTGTGAATGGAACAATAGGAGATGTTGATGGCAGTTACAAGTACCTTGGTACTTGAAGAGGCAACAAGGAAAGTGGCTACAGGATTTTGCAGAGTAAAAATCTTTTCACATCATGTATGTTCACTGTGACATCAGTGGAAGAGTGTGTGTCTTATTACTGTGTTTACCCCCATGCTGCCCAACACACCCACCCACACCCACACACACACACCACACCACACACCCACACACACCACACACGCACACACACACACACCCACACACACGCACCCACACACACACACCACACACACACACACACGCACACCCACACCACACACACACACACACACACACACACACCCACACCACCCACACACACACACACACCCACACACACCCACACACGCACACACACGCCCACCCCCCACACACACACACGCACACCCCCACACACACACACACACACACCCACACACACACACACCACACACCACACACACCCCCACACACCACCCCCACACACGCACCCCCCACACACACACACCCACACACGCACACGCACCCCCCACACACACACACACACACACACACACACACACCCACACACGCACACACACACAGTGATAAGTTTCTTTCTCACTCTCACACACACACGAAACACAGCAATCGAGGTTAAGGAAACAAACATTTCACTTGTTTTTCTATGATTCTGTGGTAAAAATGACCTTTGTCCAACACTTGTGAGGACATTGTGTGTGGGATTAGTGTCATATTCAGCTCTTGCAGGTTACAAAGTTTTATATGTTTCATGCTGCACATATTTACCAAAGATCTTGCAACTGTTTTCACTGTCATATACAAATCTTTTAGGATTCAAACAAAACATGTTAAAATGGTGTATGATTTGTCTATACCTTTTCCATATGGGCTGACAGCCAGAGCTCGATCAAAGCTCTGCAGGACTGTCTCAGGGATGTACAGACCTGGCTGAGTGCAAACTTCCTGAATTTAAACCATAAAAAAAAATTAGATTGTGGTGTTTGGGCAAACTAACCCACTGCTTGGGCAGGACAGTGTGATTGTTCCTCTGTCCTCCTGTTGTCTCCTGCAGTGAGGAATCTTGGGGTGATTGTGGACTCCATGTTCAAACTGGACAAACACATTCGCTCTGTGATAAAGTCCAGCTTCTTTCAGTTAAGGCTCCTCACTAAAGAAAAGCCCGACCTCCCATGGGCAGAGTTTGAAAAAGCGATCCATGCTTTCATAACGTCACGCCTGGACTATTGCAGTTCTTTGTATGTCCGGTTAGACCAGGGCTCCTGCAGCGCTTACAACACTTCCAGAACGCTGCAGCTCGTCTGCTGACAAATACTAAGAAATGTGAACACATCACACCTGTTCTGTGTGACCTGCTCTGGCTCCTGTCTTAAATCGAGTGCAATTTAAAATGTTATTAATTGTTGCTTTTCTGTGGCAGCTCCTGGACTGTGGAACAACCTTCCTCTTCCTGTCAGATCCTCTCAGTCTGTAACGCAGTTTAAGACAAGACTGAAAACTCACCTCTTCTCCCTGGTGTTTAATACGAGCTCGTCAGGTTTTCTTGGTGTTTTTATTGTAGTTTTCACATGTTTTCTGTGTATATGTATTTGCAACTGTTTCTTCTATGTTGTTGACTTGTATGTGAAGCCCTTTGGTCAGCTGAAGTTGTTTTAAATGTGCTATAGAAATAAACTTGAATTGAATTGAATTGAAGCAGTAGAAAAAGTAGAAATGTCGACGTAGCTCAGTTGGTCTAAATGTAGCAAGACCGAGTGGTGATGGTCAAGAAATAAATAAGCTAAATTATTACCAAGCAACACCACTGGACATAGCCAGAAAAAAACAAAAAAAGTCGTACAGGTTCGTTCTTGGTAACACAGAGGCAAGGTTCCATTTTTAAATAAGTTTTACACATAATTTATTTGAAAGTACATGTGCATATGTAACCGGGTGGTTTAGAT